GATAGATAGATAGATAGATAGATAGATAGATAGATAGATAGATAGATGATAGATGATAGATAGATAGATAGATTGATTGATTGATTTCCAGGGGAACTGAAATCAAGAGACTAAATGGAAACTTAAGTACAGCTACCATATTATAGGATCCAAATGCTTAATCTAGACTGGGTGTCAGAAACCTGGGGCTCCTGAGCTTCATGTGGCTCTTTAACCCCTCTCCTGTGGCTTCCTGCTGACCCCGTCACATGACCTGCTCTCCAGCCCCAGACACTGGTCCAACCTGACTGTGGTTGATGCCAAGCTCACTAACACGAGGGTTGATAGGGTGGGAATGAGATCTGGGAGGAGGGTATGACAGAAAGGGGGACAGGCCCATAGCTGAGGAGAGAGCATGAGCTGCAGTGGCAGCTTCCCTGAAGATGACCCTCCTCCTCTTTCTCATGCGACCCCCTGACTGGCTCTTGGGGGAGCAGGAAGGCATGCATGAGTGGGGATACCCTTCTCAAGCGAGCAGCCGAGCTCAGCCAAAGTGGCTTTCATCAAAAAGCATCCTGCAGGCAGCAAAAGTCCACCACACGAGATTTAAAGCTGCCCAGAGGACACTTTTCAATCAATGTTGCCAGCAGCACCGCTCAGCTGAAAAGCAAAAAAGCTCGGGCCAGCTGGAAAAAGGGGCTGGCCCCTCCAAACCTTTCATGCCTACCCCAGGAATCAGGCTCAGAGAAAGCCAGAGTGCTGTTGCCATCAGCTGGTCAACCTGCTGCTCCGCGCACCTTTACTATGCTTTGTCCAAGCCTTGATGCTCGCTTGTGGAGGGTATCCCTCATGCATGACAGAGGGTACCCTCACTCATGTACGCCTGAGAGAGAAACAGAGAGAGAGAGAGAGAGAAAAAAGGTGAGGGGAAAAAAAGAGAGATATGAGAAAATGATGGAGGGAGTTAATGAGAGAGAAGAAAAAGAGAGAGAAACAAATGAGAGAGAGGGAGAATGGAGAGAGGGAGAGAGAAATGAGAGAGAGCTGGAGGGAGAGAATGAGAGA